CAAAACCTAATGGACTTTGTAATTCTGAGTTTATTATTCAGCAAGACCTCCTATAATCTTCCAAGAACTGCTCATTTAGAAAATCTATCATCTCCTATTATTTTCAAAGGAGCAAAGGCCACAAGCTTCCTTAGTAAAGATAGCCACTGCTTCCCCTAACTTGCTCCTAGCAAGGTTTTCTCCCCCTTGAGGGAATAATATGCTATCTTCTCTGAGCAGGCCCTTGCTTCATTCCCACTGGTAGAAATAGGATTTAGTGGCCATTCTGGAAGTGGGCAATATCCAGGTTTGCATGAAGGAGAGATTTTATGCATCTGTCCTTTTAAAGGTGACTGACATTACGAATTACAAATGGTAAAAATTAACATTAACTTGAAATACTTATTTCTAAAAACTACCTGCAACACCCTAACAACTTAAATATAAGAGGGATTAACTGTATAGAAAAATATGAAATACAGAAGGGAGAAAGAAACTGAGGCGTATGCTCTGGTTGTTTTGGTGATGCAAAGCAGCTGTCCATACCTACCTTAATTACCAACACTTCTTGCTGTTTAACTGTTACTGCTCAGCAGGAGAGCTAATTAAACAGTACTAGTGATAACAACCATAATTTAAAAAAAACTGATATGACATCTTCAAATAATTAAAAGATCAGATTCTTACATGTTTTTGTTTAGGTATGATGTTTATGAAATGTTTAATTTAGAGACATGGAAACTCCTTAACAGAAAAAAGGAGTGAAGATGGAGCATACATACAAATAATTTGAAATAAGCTACATCAAAATGTTGCATAATCCAAAAAAAAAAAACCCCACCCCAAAAACAAAACATTCTTCTGACTGGAAATTCATAATTAAAATTAGAAAGATAATGAGGTTGGATCAGGGTACTCAAACTCTGGCCCACAGGCCAAGCACAGCTCGCAGAGCCATAGCATCTGGCCTGTGGGGATCCCCACAAATGCAGTAGGGTTGCAAGGTTCCATCCAGAAAGAGGTGCAGGATGCCGTGCCTGTCACCTGAAGAACAATGTTGGTATGGTGGCACAAGGCAGCAGTGCACCTAGATGCACCACTCTATGTACAAGCTCCAGGACTGGAAGTAGCATAGTTTTGTTAGAATGGCTTTGTGCGTCTGCCAACAGGACCTACTTATAAAGCCTGAGAAGTGGTGTTTATTCTTCCTTTAGTGCTATACTAACGTGGTTAAATTGCTCTCACTTCCCACTGTAAAATTTCCAAAACCCAAGCCTCACATGCTCAGTTAGAGCCAGGCTGTGCCTCCTTCCCCATGCAGGGCCAGCTTAGGGCCAGACCTCCCCCCCACAAGGCTGATCCATATCCTTGTCCCAGTAGAGCCAAGCCATGGCCCATTCTCCCCCTGCCCCAAGGCCCCCCTCAAAGATGGGCTGCAGCCAGGCCACATCCCCTTCCCCTCCCTGCACAGGGCCAGATCATATTCCCACCTTCCCCCTACCCCAGCAGAGCTGGGTGAAGTCCCCTTCCCCCTCCACGGGGAGATGGTGGCTGTTGTGCTGGCCCTGGGTGCTGGATCGAAACCCACCATTCAGCCTACTGGGTAAAAAAGTTTGAACACACTGGGTTGGATGATCACCGTATGGGGTCACTACAAGGCAGAGTTAACACTGTATCAACTTAACTGTGTATTTTCATACTTTATAGAACTACTTTGGGGGATAAATGCAATTCTCTGAAATTTTAATATATATTACTGGAATTTATTTGACTGTAAATTAAATTTTGTACATAGCTTTTACCTGGTAAATAAGTACACAGGCCCAAAATGAGTACTTTGCTCAATTTAACTCTAAGTTCACAGAACTTGATATCATTCTTTTGACAACTGACACGCTTTCAAAGGTCTGAACAGCATCTTCTAAAATGTGTAAATGAGATACCAGTCATTTTGACAGAGTACTTCTGCCACAGCATTATGATCCTTCCAACTGCTGTGGAAGCTACCCTCCTTTCCCTTTGTCAGCTGACACATACTTTTAATGCATGGTTACTAAATCATTCAATTAACCACAAAAACCCAGCATGGGGGAAGGGGTCTCAGCCACCCAAGAAAACCACATAGACAAGGAGGAAGGAAATAGTAAGAGCAAGGGATTATCATTCTATTTAAAAAAAAAGAAAAGAAAAAAGTTAGTGCAATTCCTTTCTCTGGTTCTCTAAAAGAGCCTCGTCTTTAAGGCACCATCTGGATCAGGGCTGTCCAAGTTCTCAACAGCCAAGAAGACTGCCCCACTCTGCCCTGCCCAGCTGCCTGCCACTGCATTTGCAATCTCACCCTGCTCCTGGCACTTTGCTGCTGTGTGCCACAACAGCAACTCCCTCCTCTGCTGCCACATGTAACACAGGCAGCCCAGTTCCCCTCTTGTGTGAGCAACTTGGGAGCTCCCCAATGTCAAGCTCACGCTGCCCCAGGACCTTACACCCAGGGTCCAGCTGCACCCTGTTTTTGAAAGGTCCTGGATAATCAGGGAAAGCTTCCCAGTCTCAGATTCTCCAAGCCTGAGACTTTTACAAAGCTCAGTGAAGTCCAGTGCACCACTTTCCTTTGAACATGCCAGCTTCCCACAAGCCAACACATTCAAAGGATGTCCATGCAGCTGGGCTGCATATACTGCTCCTGGATGCCTACATGCCAGACATTCAAAATTAAGCGCGATAAATATGGAACATCTTTGTGGTTGGTTTTGTGTTTTAAGTATCTTACCTGTGTGGTAAGTTACATTTATCAAGCAAGTCACACGTTCCTGTTATGCAAAAGGCAATGTTTGCCAGGGGCCTACATTCTGCAGCTCTTATGTGCTCTCTCATCAGGTTTGAGTTCTGTAAAAAGATCTAGAATAGTTCACTAAAAAGGTATATATAAGCTAGTAGTTGTATTTCCTTCACCACCCTACTCTACACAAAAAGGTCTATCAAAACTGAAAGAGGCAATTATGTTCTTTATATAACAGCTTTTATTTATTTATTTTTTTTAATAGAAAGAGAGCAAAACTACAACCCTACATAAGGTGCTCTGGATCACATAGCCATAAAAAACTGCCTCACTGCTATGGTGACACTGAAGTCCATAGGGATGCTTCTGTAGACAGGACCTAGACCTGCATGCCTGAGGTGGGACACTGAACATTACCAGAGGAGCGTCCTCGACTGCAGAATTTACTATCCCAGTGGGTCCACCACAGGATCTGTTAAACTACAGGACACATCCAAAAGTAACCTCTTTCCCCCTGAAGCTTTAAAAACACCGATTTGCAGGTTTTCCACTTTTACTTTACTTTAGAGCCAAGAGGAAAAGGCCTGGGTCGAAAGAACACATGCGGTAAAACCCCTCAAGCCTCCATGTTGCCTGAGGACATCCACAAGAGCCCTTATTAAAATTAAGTCTTAGCTCAAGTCTGCCCTGTTGCGACTTACAATCAAATCCTTACAGTGCTGTCAATAACTCCACACACTTCATCTAGTATTTCATTTGCTCAAACATTTCAACACCGAACCGTGGCATAACTATTAGACCAGGCAAGGATTTTAAGCACTGAGTGGAGAAGTCCAACTTGGATAATAACTTGGGAAGTTGTACAGCTGGGCCCTGCCTCAGGCAGAGGGCTGGCACTAGGTAACCTCTGGAGGTTCCTTCCACCCCATTTCTGTGCCATTTACATAAACCACCTCACAGTGCGGCAGCTGGCGCAGGACATCTAGGGGAGGCTCAAGCTTCTCCACCCTGAAGGCGACTTTCCCTGCACCCCTGCCCCAGACGGCATCTGTGTGCTGGCTACAGGACACATCTCAAAAGCCACCCTCCTCCTCTCCCCCCACCCAGCGCTTCTCTACGTAGTAAAGGGAAGCGCAGCGGTTTGGAGGGAGGAAAAGCAGAGCGGGGCCGCGTTTGGCACCACTCCGGAGAGCCCGCGCGTTTGCTCCAGGCACTGTAAGCAGAAGAGCGGCCAGGCCGGACCGGGGGAGGGGGGTAGGATTAGCCCCCGGCCCCCGCGCACCTTCAACCCCACCGGACCGCCCCGACCCGGGCCCTCGAGTGCACTTCAACCCGCCCCCCGG